AATTCTCAGCATCTCTTCCTCTCTCCCTGGCTCATAACCAAATGATCGCACAAGGGTTTGCTGTGAAGCGTGAGGCTGTCGGGCCAGCATTGCCTCTCTCCATCTGGGAGGGGGCATCACATTATACATAGAAAGAGATGCACCTGTTTCGAGAGGTGGCACGGGGTAGAAAGAGCTCGTAAAGAGTCCCAGACTGTTGCAAAAGGACAATAATTTGATGGGGTTGAAATTAAATGTGGAAATTGAGGCTGCTTGTGAAATTTGAAGGGGGTGGAGAGAACATGGGGTGGAGAGACCAGAAATGAGAAGAAAAAAGACAAAGAAAGAGAAAAATACACATGATATAGTAGACAAAGGGGAGAAACCATTAAAAAAAAAAAAATACAGATACACAAATAAAGACAGAAGCTGAGAAGAGGGAGCCAGCACCTGGAAAGCAAGATGTTACAGCTGCAGAGGGGGTGGAGGAAGCAGGAAAGCAGAGTGGGAGGAGGAAACAAAGGTGAAGCAGCCAAGGAACTGAGGACCAGACCCTTCCCTTCCTGTGCCTGCAAGTCCATGACTTTAAGCAGGTGAGTTCACAAGGTTTCTTACTCTTGCTGCTTATTTCTTTCCGTCTCTGCTGGAATAAGAGCCCCAGTGTCTGCGTGGCATGCTCATACACCAGTTGGCTCCAGCTTTGGCCTCGCCTGCCCCGCCTTCCCCTGCCCCAGGTCACACTCAAGGTTTTGAGTAGCAGCTTGGCGCGTCCACAGGCTGAAATGTGTTCCCCTCTGCACATGCTCATGTGCAGCAGCCAGCACTAGGCTCTCACCCCCAGCACACACTCCCTCACAAAGGCAGAGGCTGCCTGGGGGCTGTGTGCTCAGTGATCCAGCTAAGCACAGGCTCCCACACAGTGATCCTCCATTTTCCCCCAGCTGTCAGTGCTGCATCGATTTCACTGGCTCTGCAGCTCTTTAGTGGAGACAAAGGGGGAGGCAGAACTGCCCAGCTCTGGGCTTCTCCAGAGCACCGAGTGGCAAGGTTTCTGGGAGAAGAGTTATGAACGATGATGAGCTCATCTGAATGAGTGCCATGCAGGCAGACCCCGACACACTGGAGAGAAACAAGAACCAAGACACAGTTGTTTAGGAGTGGTAGTGCGGGTGTCAAAATCCTAGTCATCAGATGGGCCCTAGAGACGAAGTGGTGTTGTGAGAGAACTAGAAAGAGATGGAAAGGGAAGGGGGCAAGCAGTCCCAGGCTTTGGAGTTAGGACATAAATAATGTACAGAAGGGTCTGGCTCTGAAGTGGACCAAATGGCTCTCCTATCCCATGTTTATGGGTTCATGGACCATTAAACCAGCCAATCTACAGATGTCTTCATAAGACTTTACAAGATTAGACTGAGGAGACCCTATAACTCAGCAGCAAGAAGGGAACAAGAGAAGGGAGAATTAGGTGAGAGATGGTGGAAATGAGAGGGCTCAGTCTTCAGAGGAGACACATCTCAGGGGGAAGATGTCTGGGTTCTAGGATCTTTATTTTCCTCACTTCTCAGTCTTCTGTTTCTGCCCATCTCCATTAGAGTCACAACTGCACCAGGCTTATATTACCCAATAAATTCTTGATTATCTACATACTTTTTCCCTCCTAACCCACCCCCATGTTCCTGACCTACAATCACTTGGTCCTCAGAAAAGACAGTTTCTTTGGTATTTATGAAGCAAATCAGAAAGATAATAAAAGTTATGTACATATTGGGATTTTCAAACCTGATTTAGATTGTCAATATGGTTTTCTACAAATTCTAACAACCAGGAGCTGACTCTCTTAGGAGTCCTGGATTCCTGAAGGGTAATGTTTATTCTCTGAGCCATTGGGAGCAGAGACAAGAACACCAGGAATGCATACAACTTGAATTGGTTAAGGCCCAAGGAAGGAACATGATGCACATTTATTCCCTAAAGCTTGCGCCACCCTGTGGCTATTTGCAGAAAGTCAGAGACCGACAATCTTTAGGAAAAAGCTCTTCTCCAAAACTCACTGCTCTTTCAGAAAGACATGTGTGACTACTGGCTGACATTCCAGGACCCAAATTAAGGAACAGGTGTAAGACCCAGATCTCTAAACCACCACTCAGGATCCATATTTGAAAAGCAACCATTTTATTAGAATCAATACAAGAGTATGAAAAGAGGGAAAAGAGGGTGGAAGAGGGGGAGAGAATGAGGTCTGCATTGGATGTCAGTTGTGGAAACACATAAATTGCCTACTTTGGAACATTTACATTTAAAAGGTGAACATATATATATATCACTTATCCTAAAAAAAAATTAAAAATCAAAAGCAGACATGTTTGGCGAAAATAAAACCAAGAAACCACCAATACTCCCCCACAAACCAAAAAGTCCATAGAGAATTCAATTTCCCATTTTCTATTCAGAAATCTGGCTACAAAGTATGATTTGCTCTGCTACTCAGGATGGTACCCAGCCTCAAGTCTCTTAGATCCCATCTTGTGGGAAGGCTGTGGGCCACAGGCGAGTCAACTCCGGGCTACTTGGCAGGATGTCGGACAGTGCTCTCTCCATCCTCCAGAACGCCACAGAACCACCTGGTGTCGCCAGTGGTGGGCGCACAGAGGAGCAGAGTCCACAAAACATGGAGAACCAGAATGTGACTGCAGCAGGAGGCCAGGACCTTGTGCTTTTTCATGGGTTACACATCTAAGGCCAAGGAGAGGGAAAGGAGAAAGAGCCCTATTGGGAAAAGGAGCTGGGTGAGCCCCTCAACTGAGATGGACAGTAAGGCTCTTGAGCCCACACCTGGGCAAATAGAAATAGTGTCCGAAGTTTCCCCAATCTGGAGGAAAAAAAGGTCAGTCAGGTTCACGCTGTGGACACTGCAAGTTGACAGATGCTAAATGCAGTGAATTGGATGAAGCTTTAACAAATATGAATGCCTGCCCAGCTAGACGTGGCTCAGCAGTTGAGCATCGACCTAGGATCCAGGAGATCTAGGATCCAGGAGATCGAGGTTTGATTCCTGGTCAGGGCACATGCCCAGGTTGCAGGCTCAATCCGGTCAGGGGCGTGCAGGAGGCAACCAATCAAAGAGGACTCTCTCATCATTGATGTTTCTATCTCTCTCTCTCTCCCTTCCTATCTCTGAAATCAATAAAGATATAGTAAAAAAAAAAAAAAAGAATATCAATGCCCAATTCTGAGTATTAAACATACCTCTAGAAAAAAATTTCCAATGTGGCTTTTTTTGGTGGGGACTGGAGAAAGTGGCTGTTTCTGAGACCAGCTGGTTCCTGTGGGGAGGTGGAGGCTTGGGTACAGATATCACAAAGGGCTGCAGTGTCCCAGTTGTCTGTGGGTCAGTTTGGGGAGTGATAAGCAATGATACAAATCAAACCCAATGTCTCTGCTTTGCTTCTGAGACAGCCTGAGTCTGTTCCAAGTCCATGGAGCATGGGACCTTAATTCCCAACCTGCAGAGAGAAACAAGCAGTAGTATCCCTGCCTCATGATTCCCTAATCCAATGCTCTTGGGTTTGAAATAGCCTCTCTTTGTGGATACGAGATGTAGAAAATACTATGTGCCTTCCCCCAAAACATCCTAAATCTGGATTATTAAGTCTCCAACATTCACAAAAACACTGTCAACATCTGTACTAGCAGCTTTGATGAGGGGTGGGGGGGGCAGAAAACTTTCTGAGGTCACTAAGTAGTTCCAACCTTGGGACAGCTCAGTGAGGACTAAAGCCTGTGTCAGGCCTGGATTTCAACTCAAAGCATCCTCCAGCAAGGACCCTCAAGTATTCTATCAACTCTGATTTACAATGCCTCACAACACCCCTGTGAGGTAGGTCAGTATTATTACCCCCATTTGACAGATGGGGAACTGAGGCATTGAAAGGAGTGACTTGCCCAAGGTCAGCCATTATGAATCAGTTGAGGAGGTTGGCACATAGCATCCACTCAATTCTTATTCCACCCCCTAGAGCATCTGACTTCTTAGAGAGCACTTGGGAGCAAAAGGAAGTGGGTAAGTACACATCACTCTGCAAAGCAGATAAATGCAATCAACCCACAAGTATTAACTGAGGGCTATTACTATGCAAGAAACTTTGGAGAAACACACTTCTTCTGAAAGCCATCTGTTGATGGATGTTTTGAAAATGAAACTACATTTTAAATAGTAAGGTGAAGGCCTAAGTCACACTGATTTCCCAAAGTTCTGTACTGAGTAACCCAAATTCCTAAAATTCAGAATGAAGCAAGACCACACTCAACCAGGAAGATAAGAACCACTTTCCCAGTAGTGGTCTTGGTAGTGCTCTAGCTACAAGGTTGGTGGGGAAAGGCCAGCAATAGTAGTGACAACAGCAACATCCTCTACAGGCTAAACTGGGGGCATAGGAATCCCAGCACCACCAATCACCCTCTTGCAGCTTTTGGTCCCTCCCCACAATTCCTAGAGGACAGCATCTTACCAAACTTGCTGGACTCAGCTCAACTTCTGGAGATGTAGCATCTTCATAAACAGCTCAGGATTAAGGATATCCTTAATTAAGGTGACACCCCCCCCTTCATTTTAGAGAGGGGATAAAGCATTCTCTACAACTAGTCTTAAGACTCTTGCAATATTCTTTCCTCCTGCCAGAGGCATAGCCCTTTAACAAAAGAAAGGCAAAACAAAAATACACACACCCCCCCCCCCGCATTTACAGTGGATTCTGGCAGAAATCACTATGACCCTTATCCTAAACTAGAGAGAGAGAGAGTGTGTCTGTATGTGGTGGGGGAGGGAGGAGAGACCAAATCTACAGCCTGCCTTGGTTTAGAATCAAATACTAAAGCCATACCTCCTCGCAACAGCCAGAGCTGCAGGACTCTACATACACCAAAAGCTTAAAGAATGATTTATCAACACACACAGTATATATTCACCAGGGATACTCTATTTCCAGAAAGGACCAACCATTCCAAGACCTAAAATATAAACCTTTTTTCATTGATTGCTGATCACACCAAACAAGTCCAAATGATAAAGTTCAAAACTGATTAAAGTGGCAACGACAGTTCAGGTTCAGTCTGTGTTTGGAACTCCTCAAAGTGTGACAAACTGGCCACTGGGGCCTGGATCAACTGTGAGGATCACACATGCCAACGCCAGGGGATATACACACACACACAAAAACACAGAATGACAAGATTAAAAGTTCATTGCATTCAATTTGACCTAATTTCTTGATAATAGTTTCCTATTAGATTTTCTGATTAATACTGATGGCTCTTACCTAGGCTGTGATAATTAGGTTTTGATCTATTGTGACATTAATGATCACAATCAGTTGACTTTGAAATTGTCTTAATTAATGGCTCTTCCCTTGTACGCTGCCTCCAGTGCACTTGTGTGCACCCCCCCCCAACTTTATTTTAACTCCTTCTCTTACTGAACTCAGAGAATCACTTTCTTCCCATAAACCAAGATTTTAAACTGTTTCTCTGACAGAGAAACAATATGATAGGTGAAATGAGGATCAGGATGAAAAGGCAAGAGAACACACTGTCAATGAATAGGAAAAAGTCCATCTTAAAAAACAGCCAAAGTCAAGCAAGTTAGAAGCAATGACAAGTTGAAGTAACTCTAGAAAGACAAGATGAGGTAGTTTAAAATTCAAGAGATCCGGAGCAAGCAAAAACGAAAGGAGAATTGTTTTTATGAAGCTTTCCAAAAAACCTTCACACTTTAATTTTCCAGAATTATTCTAATTCTTGGGAATTCTGACTTCCAACAGTAGTCAACTCTCAACTGTCCAGGCAGAGGAAAGCATATTTTTCTTGTGGTCAGAACTAAATCTTAAGGTCAGCCTGTTAGTAAGGCTAGGCCTCACCCTAAACTGATTAAATTTAAAATTCCAGGTTATGTATATTTGTGGGAGGGTTTCCACATAATTCTCTGCTTAGAAATCACCACCTTGCAGTGTTGAATAAAACTACACTGCCCAGAGTAGATGCCCAGGTGTTAACAGATGTGCCTCAGGCCTCCTTTTTAGCAAATCTCTTGTCATTGCAAAATATGTCTGTTTTAGGCTTAAAGCCAGCCTCATGTTAATTCCTCTGAAAGAGATGAGAAAAATGAAAAAGGTGTGAACTCTGATAAAATGTCCATAAATGTTACAGACCCAAAATAACTTAACAATACATAACTGGATCTGCAACACAGTTAATACTTTTCACAAGGATTAACTATACCATTAGATACTTTGACAAAGAGCCTAAAATACGGACTGAAATCTGGGGTTCTCAATCCCCACTCACCTGTTGTTCTCTCTAATAGCAGCATTTCTAACCAACCTTCAGTTCTTTTTATTTTCTGGAATAAAACAAGCCCTTGTTGTGGCCTATGTATGACCAGTTAACTCAGTTCATCCAAGGTCACAGAAAAAAGTCCACACATCAATCGTTTAGCTCCTACTTTAGGGCCACAAACTGTAACAACAGTTGTCTCTGCCCCCAAATCAGAAATGTGTATTCATTTAAAGCATTTATTACACTGCTATTAATAGTCATTTTACCCCACACCAGCACTGATAGTTCTTTGAAGTCAGGGACTGCATCTTGTTGAGCTTTATATCTGCTGGGCCGAAAAGTATTGAATGAATGTTGATATACACTAATGTGGCTCAATACAAATCTACCACTATTAATTGGGTATGGGGGGGTTACCCAATTCTTAGCATATGCTCTTGGATGCAAGGCTGGTAAAGTCTCTATTTTTGGAAACATAACTTTGACAATTAGTGGTAAAGCCAACATGAAACTGGAATATACTGGGTCCAGACCCTTCCTTTCTCCACCTCGCTAAAGGTATGATTGCTTGGTGGTACGATTACAAAGGTACAGAACGCAACACTATAATTTTTTCTCTAAAAATCTAAACCAAAAGGATGGAGTCATGGGTGCAAAATAAGCTTTTCCTTTAACCTGATTTGTAAAAAACAATTTTTACATTTTAAATCTAATGACATAACCCTTTCTGGGGTTCTCAAGTCATTGCAAAGTAGTATTTTAGGCCCTTGATTTCAAACCCTAAGGGCAAAGACAATCACTCTCCAACCCAAACACAGATCTCTCTGTACTTTAGGTGGGCTGACCTAAACACAGATTCAACAAAATTGTAAGATCCCAAGCACCTCTTCCAAGGTCCTATGATTTCGGCCTAAATATAAAGTAAATGGATGGCAGGGTGGCTACAGAACAGGAATATAAAGTTAAGAATAACTGCCAACCTATGGGAACAGGCTTTTCATGAAAAACAGAAACACAGAGATATGACTGGGGGGACAGCCAAGGACCACCTAGACTTTTGAGTGTTGAGAGCAGCACAGGTCCAAGTGTTCCCTTGCGCAGACAAAAACTGACTGCCAGAGGAAAAATGATATGGCTCTCTCTAGGTTAAAAATGGGTGCTTCCATTAGGGCTGATGTTCCTAACAGCTGACCTTAACGTGAGGGTATCAGTCCCGTCCAGGGCTCAGAAAAGTGGCTACATTGACATTGGTAGACTCTGCTGGGCAAAGCTCTACTACATTCTGTGAAAGGAAGATCCTTGAATGCTGATTACTAAAGAAATTATTAGAAAGATGTTTTGAAAGAACAACACAGAAAAGTATACTGAGGGCCTTGGCTACTAACTCTTCTGAGAGGAGAAACCCCATGAAAACAAGTTTCCTTTTTGAGGTTACAATTCTCCAACGGCCAGGACAGCCACTCAGCATTAACGAAAGCTTGAGGCATAGGGACGCATCTGGTTTCATTTCTGCTGAGGGCTGAAATCAGTTTTGGCTTCAGGCTCCCTACATTCCTATAGGAGAGAATAAAAGTTGTTTTGGTGGCACTTAGTACAAGACCTTGATACGATAAACTGTGGACAGAAAATGATGAAGAGTAAAGTGATGAATAGCTAATACTGGCATTGTTAAAAGAAAATCAGATTTTGCTGAATATCTTAAATATTACTTATAACCCTGGCAACCACATGCCCCAGGTTTCTCAGAATCACTCTCCGTACAAAAAAATGTCCAAATGCTAGATTTTGGTTTTCAAAATATGGTTGCTGTATTTTACATGCCCACTGTTCCTGGGAGACACATGGCTACATGTAGACACATGGCTACATGGGTAAGTGGCCATTTTTTCCAGCTGCACATTGAGACTCAGATCACTTCTTCAGAGGCTCTGGCCTATTTTTGTTGTCGTATTCTTGACTACCCTAATTGATATCCTTGATTACCTGTATGACAAATCTATTTCCTGACCATCCTTTCTTTTAGACGCCCATCAGATTAGTAGTAAAAACTGTTAATTACTTAGCATTTGATCTAGGTCTTTAATTCCTTCAGAGAGTAAAGGAAGATGAAGATAAACCCCCTACCTACTTGAGGTATGGGTTATGAGTTCTTACCTAATCACATTACCATTCAGAAGGATTTTCCTGGATGACTTAAACCAAAATCTTCATTGCTCCAATCTGTCATGTCACTGCATCAACAGCTGTCTTTTCAACTGTGCAGTATAACTTTTGACATAATTTATAGAAGCACACAGAATTCAATCAGTAGCTGAGCAGGGAAGCAATGCTAACAAATGCTATGAATGGGTATATGATTTGCATATTATTCAGCTCACCTGTGGACTAGAGCAACCTAGTCATTCCCCTCACTACTCAAAATAATCTAGAAATGGTTGAATGCTCCTGTGAGCTATGTTTTAAAAATCAAAGCAACGACAAAAACCACCTTTATGATGGTGAACTCTAGAGTTAAGGCTATTTCAAGCACTTATTCTTACTCCCTCAGCTTTGGGCTAGGACAAGGATGCTCGAAACCCTGCTACTGCCTTACTTTTTGGATTGATTTTCTAGCGCCCCACCCCCCCAAGAAAAAAAGAGTGAAGGGAAATAGGGCATTTCTTAGGAGACAGACAGGATACCAGAAAAATAAACTCTCAATATAATGGCAAAACAGGAGGAAGCTAAAAGGGAAATGCTTTGCTGAGTAAGGAAAGATGGTTGTGTCAACATGCTAATGCCAGGGCCTGCCACCCTTGAGGTGATAGTCTTCCATGGAAATGCATTTTTAAAAAGAAGATACAAAGAGTTTTAGGATGGAAAAACAAAAGCATTAATACTTTGGGGACTCTTGACAAATCCAGGAGTCAACAAAGCAAGATATTTATGACTATAAACTCTATGAATATTTAAAACTAATAGTGTGGCCAATGGCTCCCCTCCAAGAATTCCTCACTGAAAATAGTGGCATAGAGGGGAAACTTGTGTCCACTGAGAAGTGAGGGTCAGTTTTGAAGCCTCTTTGGTTAACAGGAATGCTTTGGGAGGCCATGAAGTTGGCAGGGTTGGAGGGTGCCTAGCACCTTGGCACAAGCAAGCACCCGGCAGTCATTCGCACCTACATAAATATATAGTCCAAATGTGAGGGATGGAAGGAAATAACATATATATACCATAGGTGATAACAACAATTGTATCCTACCCCATCATTTTCATATACTAACAGCTAAAAAGTTCCACAGTTAATAATCTTGTCACTTTAAGACAGACTGCACCACCTTGCAGAAGCAAAAGCAGGGATTACTAAGAAACAAAGCCAAAAGTCCTGGGGCTAAAAGGAGTGCCTTGACAAATCTGAATGTAAAATTTCAAGTCCTCCAAGGATGGAGCTATTCTGGGAGAATGGGTGAGAATGAACAACAGAGGGTGGCCCAGAAGACCACACCAGGAACCCTGTATTCTCCTGGGTAGAGCTGGATGAGGTTGGGAAAGCCCCAACAGGTAGGCAGTTGCTATTGGCTTTCTAAAAAGATGGGCAATATCTTTTCCATCCCAACATCTCAAACAAAGGCTAGCTGGTCATCAACATGTTTTAAGAACCAAAACTCACCCTCATTGTAACAAAATCCCCCAGTCTAAAAGTGACCAACCCTGAAAAGATCAAGACTCTCAGATGATTAAAAAGTTAAAACTCATCTAGAGGTCACAGGGGAGCAGAAGAAAGAGATCAGGGCAAAGGAAAAAATTGTGGGAATTACACACAGTATGCAAATGCCCGGTCTTCACAGAAAGACAATTATCATGAATCAGACCACCAGTTATGTTACAAGAGAACCAATATCAACATTTCTCCTCTGGAGCACAGTGATAAGCACATTTTTTATGAATGTGTTTAGGATAGAAGGGGGTAGGTAGAAGGGAGAGGAGGCAGGGAGGTGAATGTATTATGTACAAAGAGAAATGACAGAGACCACCCCCTCCTTTAGCTCTTTGCTGTTTCTTTCTCTTTGTTTTCCGCATCCTCAGGATATGCATGCCACGTCAGTCTCTCTTCATAAAATGCTATCACAATCTGTGGACATTTTACATTAGCTTCTTTTGCAAGAACCAGGTCTGCTTCATCTGTGTCTTTCCTGGAGAGAAAGAATAGGAAGGAGACTTAAGAGGAGATGAAGAGTGAGAGACTGTGCAAATATAGGTTTCTGTCAATTTCTGGATTTAATTAATGTAATTTCCTCTTCATCCTGATTTCAAAGTGAGAAGAACCCTTCCAGTTCGGTATTTTCTTTTAAAAATTTTTATTGAATTTATTGGGATCCAGTTCAATATTTTCAGAGAAGTTTAAGTAAATGAATTAAATTACGTTAGTCCTCCCTTATCTGTGGGTTCGCTTTCTGCAGTTGGTTACCCAAGGCCAGCTGTGGTCCACAAATATTAAGTGAAAAATTCCAGCAATAGCCCAGCCGGTGTGGCTCAGCAGCTGAGCATCAACCTAGGATCCAGGAGATCATGGTTCAATTCCCAGTCAGGGCACATGCCTGGGTTTTGGGCTTGATCCCCAGCAGGGGTTGTGCAGGAGGCAGCCGATCAATGACTCTCTCTCATCATTGATGTTTCAACTCTCTCTCCCCCCTCCCTTCCTCTCTCTGAGATCAATAAAGACATAAAAAAAAAAAAAAATTCCAGAAATAAACAATTCCCAAGTTTAAAATTGTGTGTTGTTCTGGGTAGCATGGTGAAATTTCATGCCGTCCTGCCTAGGATGTAAATCATCCCTTTGTCCAGAGTATCCAAGCTATATATAAAAATATTTTGAGAGAGAGACACATAAGTTTGATTACAGTATACTATTCTATTTTATCATTAGTTATTGTTGTTAATCTCTTACTGTGCCTAATTTATAAATTAAACTTTATCATAGGTATCTATGTATAGGAAAAATCACAGTACATATAGGTTCTGTACTATCAGCAGTTTTCAGGCATCCACTGGGCTGGGGGCGGGGGGGACAGGTTGGAATGTATCCACCACGGATAAGGGAGGATGATTGTATTACTAACTACTGTGTTAGTGAATATCATTTCATTACTATATCAGACAGAAACAGAAATCTTCACAGCTAGAATTTAGTTGGGAAACATAGCAGGTTTAATCAAAAGGCTGAAAATTATATTATATAAATTCTGCTCCCATAATTTTTATTTGTATGTGTGAGCCTGTGAACGAACGCACAATCAAACATACATTCATCCTTATTGATTATGCATAAATTGATCAATCCAGTTTCTCAATCATAAGTGAAAGAGTCCTAACATCTGGTGCCCATTTAAACATTCTTTATCCTTTTGGTCAGAACAGTGGATTGGAGCAATAAGAAAACAGAAATTTAAGTCAGAAACAGTAGTTATAAAAGGGAGAGTAGGAAAAATGTAAAATCTACTACTAAAATGAAATGTAGGAATTAGCTGCAAATTTCAATTATCCAAGTTACACAGGCTTTACTACAATGTATAACAAAAAATATAGCAAATTCCTTAACCAGGATTCCAAATCAAGGAAAAAAAAATTTAATCAAAATTCCACTGACATGTGAGCAAAGACAACTACCTCCTTGTCTAGAAAACTGAGATGTTTAATTCATGGAGGAAAGTATTGAGTGTGGGGGGGGGACCCACAGCTTAGAGAAGATACTCAAATTTGGACTGTGGTGCAAAGAGCTAGTTAATATGCGACTATAAATCTTATGTAGCACATATGACTGAGTGGGAAAAATAGTCAATACAGCTCCTTACTTCTGAAAGAGTATAGTTATTCTTCAAAAATAGGCTTTTGGGTAATTTACCAGCAAAATTTTGATCAAATAAAATGTTAAACCTTTTGATTATACAATGTTTAAGGTAATTAGCTTCCTAAGTGGCACCAAAGCATGAACCCTCTATTTAGGGACCAAATCTAAATCATAAGCGCAGAAGACTTGGATACAGGAGGCAGTGGGGGCCAGACCATAAATCACCCTATCTTTTAGAAACCATATTGAGGAGAAGTAACTGTGCTTTCCTCTAAAAGCCATTCCCTCTACTGGATGAAATAACTTGTGCTTTGGCCAGTATTATTCGTAATGCTTTTTGCTCGATTATTTTTCTCTTTTAGACATTATTCAGTGGTCTTGGTCTTCAGTGATGGCAGAAAGCCCACTCAACTCCTATCCCGTGGCCACAAGCTCCTGGTCTGATGGCAAATGATTCAGAACTGTGTAAAAAATAATGGGTAGGTCATGTTTATGTTTCCAACCTCAAATCTACCCTTTCTGGTATGTGGGCTAATATAATATAATTTGGCTTAATACTAAAGCTTCAGAATGTTTTGAATTCTAGAATTCATTCCAAACCAAAATTCCCATTTAATACTGACAGTTGGTGTCAATTAGAGATCCTTGACAATCAACATTCTTGGTTGGGGAATACTCAGTCTTCCCTATCTATCTTCCATACAAATTCAAGTTACTGGTCAAAAAAACCCCACAATTGTAGAGTAAGACCCAATCGCTCTCACCATTTCATTAGGAACATTAAATCGCCACAGGAATCTGTTGCCCCAATGATCTTTTCTGGTTCCAGTCCTCTCTCAAAGCCCCGAGCAATATCATTGCTTTGCTATAAATAGAAGATGAAGAAAAGTTACAGCTTGGAGAGTTAAAAACCTCCCTATCTCTCAGCTTAACAAAGCACAACCTAATTTAATACCACCTGATACCATTTTTGTAATTAAATTCTTAAAATTCAATAAACACAATATTGGGTCACCCAGTGACAGTAATGCCAAAATATATTTTTGCAAGAAGATGCAGTTGTCCCTCCAGTAGTCGTTCAAGATTAAAAGTGGCCCCTAAAACTCTTAAATATCCCTTAAAATATCCTGGAGTCATCATCTGGGAACTCTTCTAATCCAATCTCATTAATGCTATAATGTGATTACCCCTAAATTGCTTGAGATGATAAGTCCATGTTTACCCAAACTGAACCCTTTTTCATATTATAAACTTCAAATATACCATACCTCTCCATCTTTATTTATTTTTTCAGACTTTAGTTTACCTTAACACTGGCCAGTATTTTTAATATTTCTTTTCACATAATCATCTATATTTATGAAAGAACAGAAGTAAGAATGATTCAAGAAAGTACCATAAAACAACAAATTTCTTTCAGAGCTCACATACTGTATTACCCATGCGTTTAGAGAGGAGGCCCTGGTCTGCGCCTATCTGCTCCTGATGTGGATGAGTCATTAGCATTAGAGAACAGAACTGGACAGTGCTTAAAAACAAACAAACAAACTGATTATTCTCTAGGGGAGTATTCAAATTTGGCTAGAATGCAATCATGCAGTCTAGATAAGGAGCACAGGGTCTGATTCAGGTGTGATGCCACTGGTGAGAATAAAATGGCAAAATTTTATATAAAGCAGGTAATTAAAAAAAAAAAATTTTATATTTTTTTTGGGGGGGAGGGGGGAGAGAAACACTGATCGGCTGCCTCCTGCACATTCCCTGACCTGGGATCAAACCCACAACCTGGGTATGTGCCCTGAATGGGAATTGAACCTGACACTTTTTGGTGTGCAGGATGATGCTCCAACAACAGCAGCCAGGGCACAAAGCAGGTAACTTAAAAAAACCTTATTATGGAAGATAAAGACTGTGCAAATGAACTAATATCTGATTTTCATAATAAAATCTCTTTGATCTGACATTCACCTTCCTTGCTCTCTTCTGAGACATACAAACATTCAGGGTCCAAGTGGTCCCCAAAGATACCAGAACCCACACTGGGAAGGAAATTCCATGCATGAATCAGGGGAGATACTGACTCAAAAACATAGCCTCTTTTGGGGGCTCTTAAGGGGAGGAGGTTCCCAGATGTGCACACAGCTGCTCACAGCTGGAATGCTGGCACATGAACTGAGTCGTAAATCATAGCTGGCGGCTGAAAACAGTTTGCCACATAGGGAGGGAAGAGAAGAAAAATGTTCAAGTTGCTGAATAGGAGACGAGGTGAGGAAAATGCAAAAATCATCACAGAGGCAGTAATCTTAAATCAGGCATAATGCCAACTAACAAATTTTTTCTGCAGTGGTTTAAAGAAAAGAAATGCAATCCCCTCCTGTACCTTTAAAACATACAATCACCTATCTTCCTAGCTGCCTAGCTGACAGCCACCAGCACTGTTGAGAATGCTGTCAGGGGCCCCAGATGAGCATTACAATGTAAGGGACGAGTGGGGGTTGTTTTCAAGGTCGGTAGCATCAGAACCTGGCCTAGGAACAAAACTCTGCATTGGCCGGTGGTTCTAAGCCAGACTGCTCCTTTTTAAAAAGACAGAAACCAGACCAGCCCACTCAAGGAAAGGTCCTAAGAGGCAGAGCAGCCGTGAGGGAATGGGAGCCCGAGACACATCTGAAGGACGCTACTGTGTTTGTACACAGGGGGTGAGGGGGTGAGGTGCGGGTATGGGGGATAAATGACCGCGGACGGGCCCGACTTGGGGCGGTGAACACACAGTCCTGGGCAGACGCTGTGCTGGAGAGCTGGGCACCGGGGCCTGTACAGTGTTGTGAACCGCTGCCGCACCAGCAATTCAATTTAAAAAACACGCACAACAAGTAAACAAAGAAGAACTCTATCTTACAAAAAAAATAAAAATAAATAAAAATTTAAAAAAATAAAAAGACAGAAACCTAGGTAGAGGAAATACACACTATATGTCACAAATGGCTAGTTAGAAGTCTTATGCTGTGTTGTTTTTTGGTCTCTTTACTTAGCTGGAGAATTAATCAAATGACAAAAGCAGGACTACAAAGGACCAAAAAAATAAAAGATGTATTATAAAAGTGTACACCTGAAACATATATAATGTTATTAACCAATGTTACCCCAATAAATTTTAGAAAGGAAAAAGAATGACTCAAATCTTAGCTCCTTAGAGAAGGGAAGGCATTCTCAAATTCTTTATCGGCAGTTTATTGTAATGAGATAGTTTATCATAATGATATACATACCTTACCAGAATAGGGCAGTTTTAAAAATAAGGTAAAAAATAAAATTAACGAGGGAAACAAATAAGGAGACAGACACAAACCCAGAGTCCTTTTTCACTTGCAGCCTCCAATCTTTCACTTACATCAATCCTTTTGGGAAATCTGGTCTCCCATTTTCTCTCCTATGGAGACCAGGAATCACTTATATAAGTCTTTATAAAATACTGATGCCTAGATCCAACCCACAGAAATTTGAATTTAACTGGTTTGGTCTGGGGTACATCTTGGGCTCTGGAGGTTTTTAAAAGCAGCCCCCCATCCCACCCTTGTGGTTCTAAGTACAGCCAAAACTGAGAACTAATGCTCTAGAAAGACAGGTATCCAAGTAGAATGAAGATAAATAGGGATGCTTATGACAGTGATGCTAGAAGATTCAGAAGCAGACTTATGCTTTTATTTTATTAAACTTTAAGGGTATGATACATCCTTCACCATAAAATGTTTCACAACCTTGAAATAAAGGAGTGGAAGCTGGAGGGGGGTGTATGTGTGTGCACAGATGGAAAAGATATAGATAAAAAAAGAGGTAATAACACTCCTTATGCTAGCTACTTGAGATCTAAAGCAACTGAATCAACCCAAAATTTCATAAAAAGACTTTCCAAAATGAACAATAAAAAGATTAAAAAAGATGAAACCTTGGCCATTGTGGTTCAGCTTGCTGGAGCATCATCGGTGCCCCAAAAGGTTGCAGGTTTGGTTCCCTGCATATACTTAGGTTGAAGGTTTGATCCCTGGCTCCAGTCAGGGTGCAGATGATCAATGTTTGTCTCTCACATCAATGCCTCTCTCTCCCCCTCCCCCCTTCACCTCTCTCTAAAAAAAAAAAAAAAAAAAAAAAAAAAAAAATTTT